CGCCATAAAAGTATCCACACTGAAAACGCACTTTATTGCTGCCGCTCTTTGTTGACCTGCGTGAAACGTGAAATACAAACACAACTGGCAACACCAAATCTGAAACATGGACTGCTGCGACAGGCTGAATCAGTGGATCGAGAAGTAGATGTGACGTTTCCACGGAAATGTAAAATCATCTCTTTTAAAATCATTAAAAAAAAAGGAAAAAAAAGAAAAGAAAAAGCTTTTTTACACTGCCATTTGTACCAACACACAAGGTGAAAACCATGTGCTTGAATAGTCAGCCACCTCATTTAAATCCAGGAGGAAGGTGGTGGGAGACAACAGAACCAGCGATGCAGATGAGCTGAAGGTCGCTGCTAAAGTCACCCGGGCTTCCTCAACTCTTTGGCAGAACCACAGGTTAATGAAATTTATGCCACGCTGCATTGATGCAGTAATTCATGCAGGAAAAAGAAAAAAAAAAAAAAAGTGGCGAGCAAGTACTCTTCAGTTGGCTAAAATTTCTTCACAAGAAAGATTACGTAATGTTCTATTTTTAAGATAAACTGTATTTTTTACTAAACTAACACACATAATCTAATACGAGTTTCTCCAAGATGAAAATTCAATTACAGACATAAAATATTCTGATTTATTTAGCTGTACTTTTCCTTCCATATTCATGAGGGGGGGAAAAAACAATATGGTTTCTGCAGCTCCATGGAGGTGTGTTAACGGTGCCATTGTTGCCAGTTTCTGGGTATGTATGTGTGACTGCAAATAGTCGGGAACAACCTGATAGACATGTAAGTTCTGGTCTCTCCTCCTTTTTTAATAGAATGATGTTTCAACTTAAGCTGGAGCTGCCAGAAGTGAACCCGGGGTTAAAAAAGCAACAAAAACACTCAATTTTACACATCAAAGATAAACAAACTACACTGCTTTAACACACACTGCTGTGACACGACTAAAAGTAGGAGCAGACCACCTGCTAATCCAGCCTCTGCCCACTTTTTTATTTGGGCTGATCAGCCGCTGTACCTTTCGATTTTGCCCCGCCGTGTCCATTGATGGTGGATCCGATTGAATCCTTCCGTATCCGTTTGCTGGGGGGTCGGACGCTCGATCGCAGAAAATGATGCTGGTCGTGACACGGAGGGGTGGATTCCGCGGAGCTCTGGGGCTGCTGGTTCGAACCCGTTCCGGTCCGGTCCGGCGGGGATCCGGGGAGGACCGGGGCCGGACCCGAGCTGGGACCCGTGGCTGATGGATTAAGAATTTCCACTCGCTCCTCTCCCTTTGTACTGCGCTCGTCGCTCGCCTGCTCTCCGCTCTCCTCCTCGTCGCAGCCTTCGAGCCTTCTGGACGGATTCGGCTTCCCATCGACACCGATCCCCTCCCTGGAGCCCGGTGTCATGCTGCCAGGGACACATTCAGAGGGAAATTGTTCAATTAGGAGCGAAGCGTTGGGCAAAATTAACTTCTAAAGACGACGGTCACTGTCTCTCAACATGGCCGCCGCTGTTTGTTTCAAATCCCTTCTTCAGTCCCGTCAAAACAACGCCAAATTTATAAATTAACCAAACTGAAATACATCGAAATTAATAACGGAAGCTGTTTGGCGACTGGCGCGGGTGTTTTACCGAGAATCATTCGTCTTTAACATGCAATAATATCCGTAATAAATCAAACTAAATTCAAACGCGAGCGCTTTTCAGTTTAGCGCCCTGCAGAAACGACGACGAGAGGAGCCCGTCGCTGCATTCGACCTCTAAATAAAGTGTTTATTTCAACCCCGTTTTTACCCATTTTCGAGCTCTTCGGAGGTGGAACACGTCTTCTTTCTCTTCACCATGAGTCCGACCGCTTTACTTGGCAATTACCGATCAAATTGAGCATAATAAAGCCGAAAGCGATCCCTCTGCTGCCTGCCCTCTTCTTGCTCCTGCTTCGACTGAGCTGAACTCTGCGCAGTTCAACTGTTTTCTATCAGCAACAACATAACTCGATGAGCTTTTCCCTCGCAATAATAAATGCAAATAGAAAACAACTTCCAAATTTAATATATGCATCTTCAGATGTGGATGAGCAATTTCCAAACCCTTCAGTCAGCCGAGCCCGTTTAAAATGAGAAGTATGCATAGTTACACTAACATGACTGCATATAAGACTTGACAATACGTCACAATCGCCTGCAGAAATTATATCAGCATTACAAATTATTTAACACACATATTTCAGCTTTATTTAATGCTTAAATTTACTGCTTAGTATTCCCCTACTTATATTTAATACATTTCTCAAATGGACGCCAATCAATCTTTGTGATCACAAATGAAACATTAAGTCCAGACATTTTACCCTTGAATGACAGTGCAATAAGAAAAATCAGTTCTCTCATTCTGTGTAATCTTCTGTAATCCTGCGATATAATTGTGCTATATTACCCAAGTTGTGCAGTACAAACTGCAGTAAAATAAATAGAAACAAATGAATATATTTATATTAAAAAAAATTAAGCATGCCTAATCTGAAAATGAAGAGGCAGCACATTCTTTGTAAGGTGACACAAAATATTTAAATCCTTATGGTTGATCAGGTGTAAAACATAACACTGGTCATTCAGAGGGTCAAAAACTGTTTTATATATATATATATATATATATATATATATATATATATAGTTTTTATATGAACTTATCTTCCTGTATTTTATAACAGTTGCAACAAAGGCAGAGTTGTGCGCCAATAATTGCGTGTTTCACCTCTTTAAAACCTTCTTAAAAGCTGGTCGTATGTCAGCAAAACACTTACACAAAGAAAGCGAACGTTATCCCACAAAGTTAAAAAACCATTTTTCATCCCTGACATGCAACTATTCAATGAGCTTTGAGCTTCCTATATTCTCTCAACAGATTTGCTATTATAATACAATGCTAAAAACACACAGAAGAATTACGGTTCTGTAATAATGAGCTATTCGCATGAATTGTTCTTTATATGGGCACTGAAAAACATTTTAAAAAGAACTCTCAACATGCATAAGGTGCTACCTAGCATAGCTGCTAATGCTGTTAGGTTAGCTAACGTTAACGCTAAGTCGTTGAAAAAACACTAAAATGTTGCTAAACCGCCTAACTACAAAAATACAGTTTTGAAAAATAGATCCCAACCCTGTTAGCTTTATAATAATTCGCAGCTGAGTTGAAGCATTACCTGAAGTTGAAGCTTCCCAATGGTATTACTAACCGAGAGGGAGGCTAGCATTGCTAACCGTCTGCAACCTGGTGCCGATGACAGCTCCCGGGGAGGCGCGAAGTCCCGCCTACTACAACTCAAAACAAAAGCCGTGATTGGTCCACTGTTTAGGAGGGCGGCGGTTTGAAAGCTAACTAACAGCAAGATCCGCCAACCGTTGTTGAGGGAAGACTCACAAAGAACCAATTGTGTTTTTCTTCCTGTCATGCCCCGTGAATTGTCCGATCAGAAACTTTGAAGATCAAAAGCAGTTTTTACTCTTTTGATTCCAATCGTGTTGTATCCCAACATTTTATTGAATAAACTGTAAAAAAAAATTCCTTCTTCCAGAATTAGTTCCTCCCAGATTGACTTTTGACCACCAAAAATTCAACGGGTGGAATCTGGAGGATATGTTTGAATTTTTTATAGGCGTATCCCGAAAAACGCAGACGAAAGAGCAGTAGATTCTCCGTAAGGGTTCGGATCGTATGTCAAAGTCGCCGCCATATTGTGAGTGGCGTATTTTAGCATGTTCTGTTTAAAGGATTTTAAGTAAAACTGTTTTATTGTCTGGTCTGTGGTTACAGTGTGAGATATTTCAATATTAACTGAATAAATGATAAAATATATCATTTAAAAATCAATACTAGGGCGGTTATTTTGTAGAGAAGTTTTTATTTAATCATGTTTACATGCCTAAAATCTCTGTTGCTCAGAACCATTTGTTGAAGCCCAGATGATTATGTCATGACTTTAGAAGTTTCTCAGAGGTCAGTCTGCTACTTTTGAATGTCACAGAGGCACACTTGTGAATCTTATTTTAGAAGAAAATGGTAAAGGCTTGATCCCTACTGAGGGAACCAGCATTATGGTGTGTAGGTGTTTGGCTGCAGAGGGAACAGGTGCACATCAAAAATTAGATGGAAAGAACATTATCAACAAATATTACAGCAGCATCTCCAGAAATCAATCAGAAAGTTAATACATGGAAATAAATGGGTCTTCCCATAGACAACGGTCTTAATCACACAATCAAATTAGTTGTGTGTGGCTTAAGGTCAACAAAATCAGTGTTTTGGTTAATCAACACAAAGCTGATCTAAGTCTGAGCAAATAAATTGTGAGCAGAACTAAAAAGATAAGCAAGGTTCTGCTGAGAAATGGCCCCAAATTCCAGCATGGGAGAAGCTTGTGGAAAAATGCCAAAACATTTGACCCAAGTCACATAGTTTAAAAGACAATGCCACAAAACACTAAAGAAATTTAATCTTAAAAAGTGTTTTATGATTATGTTGAACTCAAATTACTGTAAGTTTCATTTTTTCTGTTTACACATCTGAGACAGTTTAAGTATAAGTGCCTTGAAAAAAATAGCTTTTCCAAGGGGTCTTGCCACTCACAATATGGCAGACACCTTTACGTAAACATAAAAAAAATATATATAAGCAATTTAGCATAGGTTGTAGTGCATATGGTAAAGAGCTTTGTAATGTTATTTCCTCAAAAACATTGGTTTCCGAAGCAAACTTGCCACTCTCAATAACAGTGGACACGTATAAGTGTCGTTTCTGCAGGGTCAAGAAGCTACTGAAGCATCAACTTTTCGAATATGTAAAACTTATAAAAATACAATAAGCAATTGTGTCTTAGGAAATTAGACTCCGCCAGTCGCCTGCATTTTCTTCTCAGGGTGACAAAACCAAGCGAACCGTATTGCTGCTCAGTTGACCGCTGACCAATAATAACTCTCTGCGTCACAGCTGGGTGGAGTTAAATTCTTCGGGACTTTTGTTGGCTGCAGTGCAGACGGGGCGAAGTTATTGGTCGTCTAGGTGGCGAACTGAAGAAGTTTCCTTCTTAAACTTGACGTAGTTCAAACAAAACCACTATGACTTCGACGAACATGTTTCAAGGATTGGATAGTGGTGAAAAACCAAGTTCCAGGTGACTATAATGCCCACTAACGGCTAGTTTAGCCGAAAGATGGAGGCTTATTTTGACTGTTGATAAACGTTGTCGGGTAACGTTTTTCGCTTTCTTGCAACGTCACTTGCTAATTTCTTCAAACATGAAGCTCTAAATATATTTTTTTACCAGGGTAATTTCACATAATGTAATATGACCATTTACCCAGCTTGATAAGTACAAGTATTATTTTTTAAGTTAAACACAAGAGTCAAGATAGCCTTCAAGCTAGCCTCCCAGGCGTTGTCTGTCTCTGCGGAAGTGGGAAATGCTCTTCAGACTGCTCGTCTTTGTATTCACCAATAACAGCGGCGTGGTCACATTGCTCTTGTTACTCAGGAGTGTTTTTTTTTTCTTCTTCTTCTTTTACTATCATTCGAAAACATCAGCTATGCGGTCAACTTCATGAAACAGTTGACTGCAAGGTAGCTGTGTCCTGTTTTAAAGAGATATTGTCAAACTAAAAAAAAATGTTTTCATGCATACAGCTTTATCCCCCAGCACATATAATCAAATGGCATGTAATTTGGCTGCGCTTGCAGTATGTTTTGCTGCCACATTATACAGGGAGATTACATACTGTTTATGTCTATACTTATTTTTAAAAAAATACATTATTTTGTGGCTGTTTAACCAGATCCATCCTGAAAATAACTACTCACTACTTTTTAAGCTCAACCAGAGTCCCAGTGTCTTCTTGAAAATATAGTTTGCTTTTAGTCTTTCTTTTTCTCAGAGCTGTATAAGCATGTGAAAGCATTTGTGTTTTCAGATCCCATTCTCCATTTCCTAAAAGACAAAAAATAATTTCTAAAGTAAATTGTTTTTTTTGTTTTAACAACTTGAGCACACATTCTTTATTTTGACAACAAAAAAAAGGTTTAAAACAGCAGTTCGAGCATGACATGGAGCCTGTGCTTGCTTTGCACCAGTCGTTCTTGTTTTCACTGCCAATTCTGGCACAAGAAATGGAAAAACTGGAGGTATGGCTGAGCAGTAGAACCACTTTTCAAAGATTCAACTATGAGATTCTATGTCCCATTTCTGATCTGAAATCTTTTTTTTTTTAAAGCTCCATCACATAAATATGAATTTTAGCTGATCAGTTCATTTTGAAGGAGAGCCTTCAAAATAGGTTTTTACCTAATGGGGAAAATGAAATGTTAATTGCTTTGGTAATTAAGTATTTATAGTATTTAAAAAAAAACAAACAAAAAAACATTGATTTTTACCATCTCACTGGTCATCTACTAATACAGTAATACACTCCAGGTTATGGAACAGTGGTGTTTATACAAATAAAATTAAACTAAAAGCACTTACAGAACATGCAAATTACTCTTATTCTTCTTCAATTTTAATTAAGAATATTTAACGGTTTTAATTTTCCATTTGACAAAAAAAAAAAAAGCCTTGAATTTGTAGTTGTGTTGAAATAATTTATTAATTTATTGTAACTGTTCAGGAGCCTCTTTTTTTTGTCAAGATATTGGGATTCAGAACAGACGCGATGTCGTCCTGTGTGTGAGAGAGCTTTAACTGTTCAGCTGTTAAACACGATTAAATTGTTAAGAAAGAGAAGAAAACGCACAGGATTGACATTTAAACTGTTTTCAGCATCAGCATGGTTGTTGCAGTTTAGATGATTGGCATTGCTGACTGTAAACTGGATTCCCTATGTGTATTTCCTGTTGACGTGCTAGATACTAGAAGTCAGAATATTTCCTCACCCAGTATGTTTAGTGACGAATGAAGCGTTTTTAAATTTCTAAACTCTGAAGTCTTCAATTCTAACCTTGGAGTCTTCTGAATACCGAAGCAGTCTGTTAGTTTAGAGATATGAACTTTTAACCAAAGAATAAAAAGGTTATCTGTCCTGGTTTCTTAGTAAAGGAATATTTGTATGTCTGAATGAGATAAGAGTCTGTAATGTAAGAGTTATTGTTTCGTTTTTTTCCATGCAGGGTGCTGCAGCCTCCCGGTGGCGGCTCCAGTAACCTTTTTGGTGGCTATGAAGAGGATAGCACTCCATTGAGACGGTCCAATAAGATGGCCTCTAAAGTTTTTGCTGCACCAGAGGAGCCCCAAAACGTATCAAGACGCTCCAACCCTCCAGGTCAGCTTTGTCCAAGTCTAAAGTGTGAAAGTTGTGAGTCTGATGTGATAAAGCCAGTATAAATATAGCTCCTGTGTGTCTGCTCATAACTCTCCTCTGGGTTCTGTCAAGTGTCTGATAAAATGAAATAAGATCTGAGCTGAGTCTAACTGTCGAAAACTTGTCTATATTTTGTTTTCCTGTCATTAGACCGTGCTCACAATGTGACACGAATTTGTTTCTACACCCAGATTACAGTTTAACGTTGTGGTAACCTGAAGAAAAACAAATGGAAACATCCTTTAATGTCTGTCAGTGGATAATTTCAGGTTTTCCAGCAGCTTGATGGCAGACACTATGAAGCATGCAGATTCATATTAGGATTGAATATAAAAACAAAAATAAGAGACTTTAAAGTAAAGGTAAATTAACAAGCTGGGGGGAAAAATATCAAACTCAGATTCACAGAAATGTGCAGCCTTATAAAACCATCTTCTGTCAAACACTGTTGGTATCTAACCGTAGAGCTCAGCGTCATCCAGACTTTATTACTGTTGCAAAGTGTGACCACAGCTTGCTGATACTTTGTGCAGGTGGGAAGAGCAGCGGGATATTCGGGGAACCCGAAGCACCATCTCAGCCACAGAGACCAGTACCTCCAGGTGGAGCCTCCAGCAACATATTTGGGTCTGCAGAAAGCACACCTGTTGTAAGCCCCAGCCGAAGCCACCCAAACAAGCCAAAGGTAGACCAGAAGCCCACCTTTTGGTCTCTTTGATTAAAAAACCTCAGTTTCTATTATAAACACAGCACCTTTTTGTGCTTTGATTCCTCCTATTTGGCTATCGTTAACTACTGATAACTTTTACTCTGACGAGATTCAGATTCTTCTCGATGACTCTTCATTTAACTCTCCTGCAGCCCCAGAACTTATGTTGTCTCAGTTTTTTTTTTTAAAGGATTACTCAGATGCAATCCCTAAAAAGTCAGATTTGTCTCTAATAATTGATCTCAGAATGAGACTAAGCACAAAATAAAATTAAATTTACTATCCACGTTATTACAAAATAGCTTGTGGGTTTATGAGAGCCGAATAATAATTAAAAAAAGAAATTGTTGTGAGGAGCTATTTAATGAATGTTGAACCTTTCATTTTTTTGATCCAAAAGAAAATGTTTCAGCACTTGAAACACATGGCTGATTAATAATAATTTAAAATGAATTTGGAAAAATCAGTTTCGCATATAAAAAAGGATTAGTAATTCAACTGTCTTAGGTTTGTGTTGTAGAGTTACTTGGGCTCCTGAACCATTGATGGTTTGTGGCCAGTCACAAGATTTGGTGTAAAACTGTTCTCATTTTGCTTGGGGATCCAAGAAGAGAAACTCAGATTGAACCCGTTGTACCATCTCTTCCCTTCTTCACCGCTTTGCTCCTGTCCTATGATTTACTTACTTAAAAAAAATTCAGCTTTTAGTTTCATTTAAAGTTTTCACACTGCATGGAATGGAAGTGATTGTTGTAGTGGCGCCAATACACAGAAAGTCTCTTATATTCACTTATTCAATCACTACTTAGGCTACAGTGTCACTGGAATCAGATTAATGAAAAATAAACGTATTTCAACAGAAAAGAAAGATGCAAATGATAAAAAATACAAAATAAAAAAATCAGTTGTACCCTCAAACTTTGTTACATTTGAAGAAAATTTTATTTATTTCTGGAGTTTTCTGTCATAATTAATTTGCTTCTTGATACTACAAACTGCATTTTATTATTGCTTTGTCATGCAACACAATTCTGTTGTGTTGCATGATACCTGCTTTTATAGAACACAAAGAACATAGGGTTTTTTTTCCCCCCATCAAAATGAAACGGAATTAATATTTTTCCCTTTTGTTATAAAATAAATGTATCTGATTTTATTGCAGGATAATCTAAGTGTGGGACCTGAGCCTGAATCACCAGGTGAGTTAATGTTGTCGGTTTTTTGAAATGCTGGCAATATTTTTGCTAAAAGAGATGCATATGGAAATAAATTGGCTACACGTCTGTGCTTGGTACTTGCATAAATGGGTCATTTGTTCTCAATCCACTCAGTACTTGTAATTCAGTGAATGCTTTATAGTAATATTAGCCCAAGTTTTTACATTTTTGTTACCCTATGTATACCGTTATTGGCTCTGTGTTGCATTTATTAAGAATAAAGATGGTACAGCATTAGGTCACATGGAAAAGACTTTCTTTTTTTCAGGAATCTAAATCTAGCAAAACTATTTATTCCACTAATCTGCTACTTATTGTAGAAACTCCCCCTCTGTTTCTGAGGCAGACTGTAAACACACTAGTGCTAAAGTCTTAGAAACAAAGATTTTTTTTTTCCGCCCTAGTAAGTAAAGGAAATGCCTCAAATAAGAACTGCAGGAGACGTTTGTGATCGCACCTTAGTTTCTTCTGTGTTGGACATGAAGCAGTTTTCATTTATTGCGACGCCTCGTCGCTAACCACCATTTGAGAAACTTTGTTTTTTTTCTCCTTTAAGCACCTGAAGCCAAAGTGAGCCAGCCAGCAGTGAAAGAGGAGGTCGCCCCCCCGGCGCCTGCTCCAGCTAAGGAAGAGCCTCCAGCCGTCTCGGCCAGTCCGGATCCCAAACCTGCCGCAGCGGCTCCTGACGAGACGATGCTGAAGAACCACGAGCCTCACCTGGGGCCCAAGCCTCGCTCTCACAACAGGGTCCTCAATCCCCCCGGAGGAAAGTCCAGCGTGGTTTTCTACTGATGATCATACACACCCACCACTTCTCCCAGTCTGTTCATCGTCTGCTTCCCTGTTGATTCTCTCTCATTCCTGTTCTGCACCTCCAGCGGTTAATTCATCTGTACAGTACACAAGCTGCCTGTAGATCTCTTTGTTGGTGCTGTTGTCCACATCAGATTTCTCATTTCTAGTTGTCGTTCAACTTTTTTTTGCACTTTTCACTCTTTGTCTCAGTCCCGTCTTTTTGACTCTTCACCCTTCCTCTTCCTCCTCACTGAATCCTGCAATAATACAATCACACACAAGTCAATCAGCTAGCTAGATATTTCCCAATCACCATGACTGTAACAATGTTCAAGCTCAGTTGTGAGGTTATTCTTGTTTGTAGATTGGATGAAATCAAATTTTCAAAATTAAATAGAATTGTTATTTTTAACCTCAATGGACCTGGATTTATATTGTGGAGCTAATACTGATTGATAAACCTAATATGTTGCCTTTTAGTCAGGAAAGAGAAATAGATTTTTTTTTTCACACCAAAGTTTTGTGCAAAATGTTTCAAGAAATTTAGCATCCTTTCAATATTTTTGACCTGTCAGATCCTTACGGTTTTTAGCATTTAAATGTGTAATTAGACACCTTATTAGCTTAGCATTTGTCATCTTTTTCTTTTAATTTTATTTACTATTGCCTAACATGTAGACAAAAATGACATTAAAATACAGTCTGTACGGGTGCCAAAAAAAAACAATCAAGCAAATATGAATCCTAAGATTGACTTTTAAATGTTTCAAGGTAAATTCCGTTTTGATTGTATGTGAATGTACTGTGCGGGTTAATTCTCTGCTCTGTCCTCGTTGCTTGCATTATCTGAGAACATGCCTTTCCTTTTGCTTGGGGGGGGGGGGGGCAGCCTCTGTTTATGTTTTAAATTAAAACGGCTGAAGACGTGTGAACTCTAAACAAGCTCGCAGCTCACCTGAGTGCAGGTGGGCTCCTCTGATCGCCTTTTTCATCCACATCATTAAGCACAGACGAGTTATTCCGATGCCAGCCTGTCCCCTCTCTGTTTGATGTGCCTGGCAGCAAATGAGTGCAGCAGAAGAAAGGAGTCCTGTGTATTGAAATAAAACTTTTGTTTTGCATTTGAGCTTTGTTTTGTTTGCCTTCCAAGAACAGGGAAGCGTCTCTGACGACCTTGATTTCACTGAAGAGGAATTAAAATCATCTACATGTCAATTGCACTTGGGTGTGACATACATTTGATGAATTCATATGTTTACATTTGATTACAGCAGAACAAGACAACTAGTTGGGACACATTTTTATAGACTTGGACAATGAGGTGAAGACGCTTAAGCAAAAGCTGGCGTAAACCCTAGACTTGCATCACTTGTGAGGCAAGTTTGTTCTACCAACATTTAGAAGTTACTATCGAGACATGTTTTTCTCAGAACAAACAAAAATCTTGTGGCTAGCGAAAGTATTTATGTCCCTTTCCCACATTCAACAACCACAAACCTCATCGTTTAGTTTTGGGTTTTATTTTGACAGGCCAACACAAAGTAATGATTGCAAGCGAAACTCGACTTGCGTCTTCGTATGGTTGTGAAATCGCGTATTTCCTCCTCTGGGCTTCATTCTGTCAGCTTCAAAAATGAAGCTGAAGAGGAACAAGGCTGCTGAGTCACTGTCGGTCATAAGACCTTAACAGCGACACATTAAATGAGATATTCCTGTTTTCTGTGTTTAAATAAACCCTGACAGGCACTTAATTCCATTGTCTACATAGAAAATCTACAAAAGAAGACTTGTCTATCAATTTTATAAATTGGGTGAGTAATGTTAAAATGGTGGCTAAATATAAGTAGTGCCTATTGTCGGCTATACAAAGTGATTTATTGAACATTTTTGAAGAGTGTGGTCGTTATGACCAAGATTCTGGCATCAGTTATTGATGCGGATACAAGTCAAGTAATCCTCCGTCAGAAACATCTGAACTTCCGGTTTAATACTTCCAACATAAAACTAATAGGGATAAGCAAAGGTTAAAAAAAATATCTATTCACTGTTATTTCTGTAGACTACCTGTGTATGAATGCATATAGATAATTAAGTGGCCCATTTTAATAGATTTGTAAATCTGATACAAAAGTTTTAGTACTTCAACCTTTTTCTATGTTTGGGGCGTCTTTTAGATACATATTTTTCTAATTTTATTAAGTGGGAAACTACAATTACAATACTTATTACTAAGTTCATAGCAACAAAGGCTAATAAAAGAATAATTTCCTGTTATTTGTCTGAAATGAATTGCATAGCTTTGTTTTCTTCAGGAAATAAAACTTACTGTAAATTTTTTATCAAATAAGAGTAGCATTACTGTAATGTGTTTTTACTTAAGTAGAAGTAAGAAATAGTTAAATACACACATACAAAAATGTGTGTATTTAATTTGTTAAAATGACTTAATTTGACAGAGGAAAACTATAGTTATGTGCATGCATTAGTACAGTAAAAAGTATTTTCTTGACTATATATTCAGTGCATATGCATCAAAATAAATCATGATACTGATTTTTTTTCAAGAAAATTAGTCAATTTAATGTAATTAGACCTGTTACAGTCAGCATGGAAATAGAGAAAAAAACAAAACAAAAAAAAAACAGAACTGTATAAATAGGACAAAGAAATCATGTCAATCCTCAAACTGGAGGAATTTAATATAAAATAATAATTAAATGCAACCTTTTTTTTAAAAAAAAGGAGTAGCAGGTGATAAATATATTTTATGTCCCAATTAAATTATACACACAATTTTTAAATACTCAGTGAACTCATCCTTCAAACTGTGATTTGTACAGCTGAAGTTGTCGAAACAAGAAAGCTAAAAATGTTCCATTCAAATTGAGCAACACACATTCACTTCAAAATTATATGTTTTTGTGTGTGTCGATCTATGAATTCCTGAGAAAACACAGGTTTGGCGTTGCATCACAGGAAAAGGTCAAAAAGTATAAATAATTTTGAAAAAAATAAATATGCCCCACTTCTTAATTCAATACTTAATGAGCAAATAGGAACGTACCTGGAATATAATTAAGAACTTAAACGCAATAATGTCTTTAGAAGAAACGTTTCTAAGTCGTCCAGCAGAGGTCCACACAGACACGTTGACGCAGCTTTTATTTTGAAATCATACAGCTGTTTTCTTGTCCGTGTGCACGACTTGACTGATTGCAGACGGCGTGACGTGGGGCTGACTCGGTCAGCTGGCTCCTCCATCTGAACGGCAGGGAGAGCCTCTCCCAAAGGGAGACATCACCATCAACGCCCGACGCAGCTTCACCGGCGGCCCGCCGGAAGAGGAGAAAAACATGGGCGAAACGCGGCTATAGTGGCGGATCGGGAGACGCGGATTATTTATTCACCTATTTATTATTTATTTATCTCCCCCGCCAGTGTAATGGCAGGGGTCCATGGCTGCGGCTGCTGAGAAGCAGGTGCAACATCATCGTCGGAGGCTTTTCGTTTCCTCGGCATGGGCTGGGAGAGGGCCGAACCCCGGGCTGGATCACTCCGTGGGAGGGGGCCAAAGGCTGGGCCGCGGCTGGGGGGCAGAGCCTGCTAAGACTACAGTTGATAAACGCTCTGTGCATATCAGCGTATTTTAACCAATATGGACCGTTTACAGCTCAAGGTTATCCGCACACAGCAGCACGCGTAACCGGCGCATCTGCAGAACATGGAATAAGCGCTTCCTGTGATTAAATACCCTCCATTTCCCACCCCTAAGTGCTGACTGGATCATAACACTGTGACAGTCCAGCCTTACAGGCCTGAACATTTATTTTTTTTAATTATTTTATTTAATTTTTTTTTTTGTGGCTTATATAGTCTTGTTTGGATAAACATAGTGCAGCTGCCAAGATGATGGAGATAGACGAGGTGGTGTACCAGGACGACTACGGCTCCGGCACCGTGATGTCGGAGCGGGTGTCGGGCCTGGCCAACAGCATCTACCGGGAGTTCGAGCGGCTCATCCACAGCTACGACGAGGAGGTGGTGAAGGAGCTGATGCCGCTGGTGGTCAACGTCCTGGAGAACCTGGACGCGGTGCTCACCGAGAACCAGGAGCACGAAGTGGAGCTGGAGCTGCTGAAGGAGGACAACGAGCAGCTCATCACCCAGTACGAGCGGGAGAAAGCGCTGCGTAAGCAGGCGGAGGAGGTGGGTGACACACACTCCTTCATCCTCATCCTCATCCTCACCTCATCAGTCACGGCCCTTCTGGAAAGGATTGGTTATTTTAAGACTGTTGGCATCAGTCTATTATTATTCATTATTCATAAATATACTTTATGTGTGTAGAGATTTTTACAGTCTTACATATGTAATAGCAGACGTATTACAAGAAACAGCCTATACGGCAGAATGTAGTTATTACTGTACAGTGACAGAGCCGGTCCATGGCTTAAACGAAGTTGGCTGGTTCTGCTTCCCCCCTACCCCCCAGGGTAAGCAGGGGACCTCCACCAGCACTTTGCAAACAAACAAACAAAAAATAAAATACATTCTTAGTCAAGAATTAACCCTTTTTTATTATTATTGTTTTATGTTTTTCTGATGGTGTCTGATTGTCTAAAACAATTTCAAATTCTTCTGGATTTAAAGTCCATTATTTACCATCTAAAAAACAAAATTTAAGAAACATTAATAGTTGTACCAGCTGTAAGCAGTGGTTGTTTTTGCATGAATGGATGAATTCCTCCTCCTACCAACACACACAATCAAACACACACTCAGTCCTACAATGAAGGTGAAAGACTAAACTAACAAAAAACACTTTGTAACTTTTCAGGAGCACTAAAAACTAGATATTAATGTTCTTTTATTTTAAATAGTTGACGATATGCAAAATTTATGTAGTAGAGATTGTAGAAAGCAGAACAAACTTCAAAAACACAGAAACAGCATCAAGTGATAATCGATCGGCACAGGCAATAAAAAAAAAAAAAAAAAAAAAAACTGTTCATGGAACAGTTCTATGATACTTTGGTTTGCTTGATGCCACCCAAAAGACGAAGCCGCCCTGGGCAGAATCCCAAACCCCTCTTATTAATTACTGCCACCAAAAGGCTGACAAGAAGGCTGCTGTTATTCTCTGGGTTTTCCCCCATCAGAAAAGCAATATATTAGTAACATGCTTCACTTACAGAGTGCTGTCACCAGGCCTCTGAAGTATATTAAAAAAAATAACAGCTCTCAATATGCAAACGCAAAAGTAAAGAGTCAGTCTGTGGGTTCTTGCAGCAGTGACTGGAGAACAGCATCACTCTAACAAAACAGAGAAAAACAGAAAGAGTACAGTAGTGCAACATGTAAGCTATTAAATTAAAGCACATACTCCACCTCTAGCCATTTTTTAATACCATGACATCATAAAGTGCCTTAACTGTAATTCAGCGTTTCACTGGCATCCATACAAGCATCAACTTTACTTCTAATGCGTTTCACCGGCTTTTCTAAGAGGGTTCATTTAACAAGTTTAGAGTGTTTTCAGTACAAATTTGTTGAATTAAACCACTTCCTGCTGCATAATACAACATACTGTATTTACTTAGAAATGTCAGGGCTCTTCACTTCATTGTGAAAATGCAACTGCAAGCGGGAAAAACGTGGAATTTTAAAAAGGTCCCTACAACTCAGAAAAGGTTTTTTGTAAATATGGTAACTCACAAAGAGATTCTGGGAAACGTAATAAAAACCCAGGAAATACACAGCCGAGTTGGAGTTCATCCTTCACCTTTACACATCAGTTACACAAACGACATACAAACGATATAATTTAACAAAGACAACCTGAGGCGTAAGCAACCGAGGCTCCAGAACTCCCAGTAATTTAAAAGCTCAGAAAACGTACTATCCATATTTTCTCTTCAAAACGCCGTTTGTTTACACGTAAAAATGCCGGATCCAAAGAATGTAAGTCAAGTAAGCAATTAAGTTATTTACTAGTGTAAGAAAAGTGCGACATACATTGGAAATGTTCATAAGTAACTGCAAATCAAAGCTAGTACTTGTTACATGTCTTTTATCTTTAATTTTTTTCTGTAAACACTTGGAACAATGGAGCGGCTTAGGTAAGACAATGAATAAAAGGTTAAATTAAGCTCTGCTTCAGCCTGTGCATCTCCTCAGGTTCTTTGAGTTTGTGATTCATTACTGAACTGTGTGTTTTTCCCCTCCCCTATTTTCTTATTGCAAATGACCCAACAGAAATTATGAAATGAATGAAATGGTAAATGTTGCTGTTTACTTTTTTAGTTTGCAACTTCTCCTCATAGGTTTGACCCTTTCCTTAGAGAAACTAAGGGGTCAAGCTGGTGGTCGAGTGGTGAGGGTTTCCCACATTAAATCCTCATGCAACCTTGAATGGGTTCTGCCTGTTCACAGAGTCGGTGAGATAAAAAAAAAAAACATAGTACCATAAGTTAGTCATTGGCAAAGGGTTCAGTGGGTCAGTGGCATCCAAAGTCAGCAACAAATATTGGAGAGCTTTGAGTAAGATAAACCCACAGTTTATGAGTGACCAAATAAAGCATTTATTTTTTCCTTCACGGTTTTGACCAAAGAACACAATGCGACGGATAAACCGGTCGTTTAGTCTGACCGTGAGCGGCGCTCGGTGGGGGATGGGACGACGTCGACACGGTTGCAGTCAAGGAAATCAATAGCTGCACAGAGCGCTGGCACTGTAACCCGATTTGAGCAGACAACGGGATAAAAGCAGAGAGAAAGAAACAGGCTGGAGCTCACGGAGCCGCACTTGGACTCGGGTCAAGAGACAGAAAGCTAATAAGAGACAAAACATGGAGGGAATCTCAAAACACATTAAAACTCTCTCTTGAGTAAATGTTGCGAGGCCGGAGCAAAAAGCGACTCAGATTACGAGGTTTGTGGGGCCTCGGATGATGGAAAACAAAGACAGAATCTCGACTTGTCTATAAATCGAGACTCCCCTTACCTGTTTTGAAAATAAGCTGCCATTTTTTTTTTTTTCCTCTAATGGACCGGTCAGCTTTCACCACTGAGCATCACACGCTTTATACTTTCTGTTTCAGTTTTTGTTTTTTGATCTTGTTTGAATTAAAAGCGTTCCTCAGGTTGAACAGGTATGACCCGACAACAAGTCTACAGGATTTCACAGCGATTATGCAGATTTCTCAGCATCATCCCTGCTGTTGTCACTTCACTCTCTTCACGGATTTCACACGTTATAAATAGCTGAAAATGTGACCGAAATGCACTTAGCTGCGGTTTGTCAGGGAAGTAAATTAGTTCCATCCGGTATCCTTCCATAAGGATACCGGATGAATTATTCATCCTGGACAAAATCTACACAGAACCAAAGAGTTTGACGAAATAATATTTGATTTTATTTTTTTTATCCTACTCAAAGTGATTATTTTATTCTTATTCATAGAACTGCAACCTTTTTCCAGTCTAAGGTGATGGGATGATGTTTTTTGAAGCGGAAAATTAAGACAGATATCCAAAATGTAGGCAGTTTTGGGTACAACACACAAAATAAAAAATTGTTTTCAGCCTTTATCTTATAGGAAAATAAACAATTTTAGGTCCAAGCTTTACAAATAATAATTAAAAAAACGTTTTTAGGGAGAATCAGTATATTTTGTTTTAATTTTGTGATACATTTCCTTGTAAAGTTATCCATGACCTATTGAACCCTTTTTTTTTACATGTAAAACCACAAAGAATGATAATGTATTGATAAATTGATAGACAAACACAGATTAGCTTGTAATTGTGAAGCAGAAAGGAAGTGATACATGGTTTTGAATTTTTTTTATTCTTTTACTACTGAAAAAGTGAGGTGTACCTCTGACGACACTTTATACTGGAAGTACAGGTCTGAATCTCACTGTCCTCTGCATGTAAGAAAAACAGACCTGTTGGAGTCACACTCTTCCACCTGAGCTGTAGATCTCTGCAGTTCCTCCGGTGTTACTATCTACCTCTTGCTGCTTCGCCGATGAATCTCTCTCTGCCTGGCCAGCGATGCTGTTTCTATTTCTGGCGGATGTATCGAACCTTTCTCTGTGAGATGTCAAAGTTTGGGGCAATGTTTTCTAACCTGGTTCCGCTTTAAACTCCTTTAAATTCATCGTTGTTTATCTGCCTTGGTCGTCATAACGGCGTTTGTTGACAGATGTTTTCTGACAAACGAAACAGCTGGATTTGCAGTAACATTAAGTTACACACAGATGGACTTTATTTACAGACTAGAACTGCTTATAAGTGCAGGATGCTGTTTCAGGATGTGATAGTGAAGGGGGCAGAAAACCAACACTCGCCACAGTTTTCATGTTTTTGTTTATAAAGAAAAAAAGAAATCCATGTTCTTAATGTGATAAAATGTGGAAAGGTTTATTGGTTATGAATCCTTTTTGCAAGGCACAGCATTTGAGGAAGTATTTACCTTAAGATGTATAGATAAAATCAATACATTATCTCCTGACAGATATCAGGTGACTTTAAGGCGTCAGAATTAGACCAAAATCTTTGTCTGAGCTATTTCATGTGAAGTCCTGCATCTCTGCTGCAAAAATAATTCTGGTCTCCCTGCAGTCAGAGGATTACAGCATTAAGCCTCTGTGTACTTACAGCATTGGGGGGGAAAAAGGCGGCATTGTAAACAGCTTCATGAAAAACAAAAACACAGACGTGGAGGTGTGGAGCTGTGCGGCTCGCTACGCGCTGAAACAAACTGTGTAATGTCTCCAGGTGAGACGAATCAAAAGATGTTGAAAAAATAAAAACACACAGGAATACCTTAAAACTGACCTCAGTGTTAATCAGATCAGCCAACAGTCCGCTGTGTCTGATCCCTATAATACTATAAAACCCTTCACTTTTTCTTGATTTGTATGTTTATTTATGTATGTAGATGTAAGGATGATAGATAAATGCAGACTTATGAGTCTATTAATAGGGTAGACAAGCATAAACTTATTCCTTTATGGTAAATTATTTGTTTGCAAAATGTCATTTTATTTTGTTTCCTTTTTTTTTTTTGTAATGTAAATTTACCAAAATAAAGCAAATCTAACATTGAGTTAATGTTTTTTTTGTTTCATTGTATTTCTTTACTTTTTTTTTTTTTGTAGAAATTCATTGAATTTGAGGACAGCCTGGAAGCAGACAAGAAGGAGCTGCAGATGCAGGTGGAGCTCTTGGAGCTTCAGGGGAAGCAGCTGGAGCTGAAGACGAAGAACTACTCCGACCAGAGTGAGTGGACGTTCTGCAATTTAGGAAACAAACCAGGCTTGCTGAAACCAGATGGGAGTTCTCAAGATGGAGCCTGGAAATAGCTCCTCCTGCTAATCTGATTCATCCTTATTCAATCATGTTCGGCCTTAGATTTTTATTGAGCGCTACATAGTAGTAAAGAAGCAGCCGTTTTCACTTCGTCGAAACCAGAAATTCGCCTTTTCTTCTTTTTCTCGCAGTCACTCGTCTTGAGGAGCGTGAAGCAGAGATGAAGAAGGAGTACAACGCTCTTCACCAGCGCCACACCGAGGTAAACGACGTCATTTATCTTTTCAAAAACAGGAACGTTGGTCCTTTCGCTCGGCATTTCAAGAACAAACTTTTTACAGACCAGCAGGTTTTATGTCCCCAGTCACACTAAATTTGTTCAACAAATATTCAGTAAATGTGCCACTTACTTGCAGCCTTAACAATTTACATAAAACAAATGCAACTTCATTTTTTTTTTCTTTAATTTTTAGGTTGATCAGAGTATCTATCACAGTGTTAAATACTGATTTATAACTCACTGTTTTCTGGTTTTTAGATACAGCACCATTTCTTTTAGCCTCTGCTCAGGAGGCTTGACAGTGACCTGTTTTCATCCAAAACTCACGTAAACGTCGAGTTTGATCAAATGAGACGAGGATTGAGCTTTTCCGTAACAAACACTTTATGGAGATTGACATAATTATGAATGTGGGTAAAAAATAAAAAATAAAAAAGCAAGTTCTGCACACTGTATGGTGTAGGAGCTGTCATGCTGTGGGCCAGTCTCTGTTCCAAAAGCCTTGAAAACCTTTTTAGTGTGCATGTTTAAATGATCGTCAGCTAAACTGCAACGCAAATATCCAGGTCACATAATATTTAATAAAGGCATACATAATCATTTAAATTTCGTGTAAATGAAATTATTTTTTTTTCTGTATTTGCTTCTATTTTTAGTTTCCCATTGCATAAAAATAACTTCCATTATAATATAGACAATTGTATTTACATGTTTTATTTTTACATTTCAACGTACAAACGGCAAATGCCGACCCTAATTGTCACCGTAGATTATGTAATAAAGCAGATTCCTTTCCATTGGCCTCTTTTCATAACGTACCTAAAGTTTAAGTTTCTGTTCTGAAAGTTAAGTGTGTCGCTCCCCAGATGATCCAGACGTACGTGGAGCACATAGAGCGGTCCAAACTGCAGCAAGCAGGGAGCAACAGCCAATCAGAAGGCCCCGGCTGTGGACGAACGTGAGTGGACGTCGTCTCGCGCTTCGGCTCGTCTCTCTGTCGTTCACTTGATGTGTTGATTCGACATGTGACTCTCACGCGTTGTCTTTGTTGGAAGTGTTTTACGTGGACATATCAGGATTTTTGTTTGTTTGTTTGTTTGTTCGTGTGTTTTTTTCTGTGCGTCGTCATCGTGTGCTGTGGAGAACAACTGATACAGATGAGAGGCAGTGAGCCAAAAATGGATAGCAGCGTTTGTGGGGAAATCATTGGAAGATAGAAATGTTTGGTACTCATTTATCAGCTTGCAGCGCTGAGCGCAACGCCGCCTCAGGGCCTGAGGGGAAAACCAGGAGCAGGACATCTGGAGCAGCTTCCGTTAAAACGCTGCATATTAGTCTCTTTTCCTGTGTGATGATCTTCTTAAAGAGGATGCTGCGTCCTAACTTTCCTCAGCAGCAGCGTCTGATGTAATAAATCATGATGCTGAGAATCTTCTAAAGCACTCGGTGGAGGCCGGCGTTGCACTGTGAACCTCACTGAGGTTTACAGAGTGCATTATGTAGGAACTGGAGGAAAAGCTGCTGCAGTGAAACCCCCCCCACTGGTAAAGAGAGGAAACTAAAAATTCAACAGAACCGTGATCTGAGGATTTACTTGTGTGTTTCTGTGCGTCATCACGGCACCGTCTCCTGTCTTTCACTAATCTGTCTGTCTTGTCTGTCCTGCTGGCTTTTGCTCTCTGTGCTGCTGTTTGCACAGTCAACGCCACACATGGAGGAAAAGGTAAATCCAACCTGGTGCCATAGCTGCCCTCTCCTCCCCCCCGCTCTTCCCCTCAGCTGCATCCTATGAACTGACCTGCTTGGAGTCAAAACCAAGATCCTCCCTTTTTCTGCTGAGATTAAACGGCGTCATGTGGAAGTTTGAGCACCCGAAGTCAAAATGTCTGTCTCTGCAAAATGAAAATGATTCAGTTAGATTACACGTCTCGATTAAAAAGTTTTATAATTTTGGTATTTTTATTAATGGATATGCATTTGATGGAGGTTTTTCAAAAGGACATTCTTTAAGCCGCGACATAAACCTTCATCTTATGTCTCTCCTTTTTTTTTTAATATAAATCGTGATTTCTTTTTAAATCTTTTGATCCTGTTTTAGATTTGAATCCTTCATGGGGCTTTGAGCTGTTTGCTGCAATCAACAACCAAAATCATGATTTTTTTTCCCTCTGTATTATTCCTCTGTATTAATGCTCCTTTTCGTAAAATACGTTTTATTCTGATGCTCAGAACGTGAGCGTGAGAATAGTAACAAACTAGTTTTGTTTGTAACACTCATACAATATTGACATAGAGTGCTCAGACCTTTGCATGCCGCTTGTAAAAACAAAAAAATAAATAAAACTTCCCTTATGCATTTGCTGCGTTATTAATGCCTGTAAGAACGACTTCATGAATGTACTGACTTTGTGCTCTAAAACCAAATTTTAAAAATAAGGAATGCATTAAGCATCATATTCAGAGTCTTTTCCAGATTTCCTAATCTACCTTCTCCTCTTTATCCCTCATGTTTTTGTCCTGTTTTTGTCTTCTTGCCTGCCGTCTTTGTCTGCTGTCGCTCGTGGTTTATCTTAAATGACACAATTAGAGTTTGACCAACAAAGTTGGCTGTTGAGTTAATTGAGTAGGTTACATTTGTCCTTATTGAGGTGGACAACTGTTTAAGCTGAATTACTGACTGAGCTAGACTCAGGGGAGATACATTCATAACACTAGAGATGGTTTAGATTAGTTTGGACCTTCTCAAAGCCTTGAAAAGGAAAACAACTGCCTTCCTCAGAATGTTGAATTGCTCCTTTAAATGAGCCGGATTTGAACAGTGATGACTGTGAGAGGCTGTTTATTGTTTGCATTAGCAGATTATCGAGTTTTTTTTTTTTTCCCATCTGAATGCATGCCAAATGACAACCAGTTCTGCAAGGGAGGAAATGACTGAATATGATAATTAGATCTAGTGCTTCGCAAAATTAATCTTACACCTTGAATTTTTTTTTTGCCTCATTACAACCACAAACTTATGCAAGTGAAACATAAAAGCACCAAATAACTGTGAGTTAAAACACAACTGATGCGAAATTTTGTTAAAATAATAGAGCTGAAAAAGTTTGACAGTCATTTACAATTAGTTTTTTGAAGTGAGAATCTGAGTCAAGTCTTGAAAATTTTTTATTTTAGATTGAATGTGTCAAACTTACGGCCTGCCGTAGCAATGTTTGTTTCCCTCTGGACCTCAGGCTGCCACAGAAATACAACTTCAAGGTAGCAGTCAGATCAAAACAGCTTTTATTTCTATAGAAATAAATCAGTGTGAAAAGATGTTCAGTGTTATTTTGTCTCAAGAAGTACAAATTGAGTCTAGAGAAAGCCAGCTCTCTATTTCATTAGCAGCTTGTTACCAATGCACCCTGGCACAAGCGGCCCTTTAATTAAAGGCATTCTTGATTTTGTTGCGGCCCAAAACGAAAATGAAAACGAGTTTGACATATGGCAGCTAGAAATGCAAGCCACACTTTTCAGATTGCACTTCATAGTTATGCGTTGTCTCATGAAACCTTAACGACGCACCTGGAAGTTTGTGGTTGCAACACGGCGAGCTTTGAAGCAGACGGACTGCTTTTGCAAGGCGCCATGGCAACCAGCACAGTCTCACATGACTCTCTCTCTCTCTCTTCCCCTTCCACCCGCAGCAAAGCGGAGCGCCCGCCGTCGCTGAGCCTGTACCCTGGTGGCGAGGGCATGGTACGTGGGGGTCACGGGGGGGCTAGGATGATGCCCGGGAAAGACATCTGGCAGGTCAGCAAGCTCGGCCGCTCCACCTTCAGCTCCGCCTCTCAGGTGGGACAGATGGGGAGGGTGGGGGGGGACACACGGCCCTGTCCTCGTCCACAGCTCCCTGTCGACAGTCGGGGAAGTGGAGGACGGAGGGGCCGGCATCACTGCTTCTCTCTCAACGCTCCTCCCACGCCTGCTTGTGTCGCTCAAAGAGAAACAAAAGTTTTCAGCCTCATCAGCCATAAAATCTGCTACTTTAAAAATCTAATTTGTATGTTTATGAACATTGACTCAAGCATGCAGGGGTCACGTTTTATTTGGGTCGTTTTCATGCCGTTTCTTTGTAGCTGTGTGATTGTTTTACCGTGTGTCGTCGTGCTACACTTTCCGTACACATGTAGTCGTTTTTTTTTACGCTTTTAATTTAAAAATGTGGGAATGTTATGTTTGTTTAACCGGAAAAGAAACGACTAAGGTAAAATAAAAACCCTTAAAGATAGTCCTTAATGTTCTAAGTGGACTTCGGTCAATGCTGTGTTTTAATTGGCATCCAGCAATTTAACTCTTATCCGAGATATAGCAAAGAACATTGCATTTATTCGTAAGGAGAGTTGCCAACAAAAACATTTCTTAGCTGTAAGACAACAAATTCCCAATATTATTGTTCCTGTTCACAGTCATTTTAGTATTACAGCACAGATAGACACTACAGAAAATGAGAAAAGCAGCCGATTATAACTCTAATGAGTCATTGCTTTAATATGCTCTTGGATTATTCACAGCTTGTTAGTTGATTTCTTTTTTCTGGAAGCACCAATTTCAATTTGATAGCCGTATTTGTTTGCAGGTCATAAATTGCTAAATGCAAAATTAAACCAATATTAATTAATCATTTGGTGATTTTCGTTCAGGCGTCATCTTTACGTATTTGTGAGCTTTTATAAAGATTTAAGATGAGAACTAAATCTAAGAAAGTTTTATTTTAAGATACTGGACTAGCTTGAGGACTTTCATCTCATTAAAATAAATTAATGTAAAAATCAGATTGGGGTTTGTGTTCTTAGCTCTTAGTTGAAAACCAAAAATATTTGCAATGATCCTCACGTAACAAGTTCACCGTCTCTGCTGCCGCTCATCCAGGAGGACGAATCGGAGTCCGACTCGGTCGCAGCCACACCCAGCAGCACAGGAAGCAAGTCCAACACGCCCACCTCCTCCGTCCCCTCCGCCACCGTCACCCCCATCAACGAGGGCTTCCCCCCGCACTACGACTTCGACATGATGCGTGCCGGGAACCGCAGGAAAGGTGCCAAGCGTCTCAGTCGCAACATGGAGGTGCAGGTTTCCCAGGAAACCAGGAACGTCAGCATCGGTGAGAGGATGTCTTCTTCTGCTTCCGTCTCATCTCCTGTCGCTTGCAGTTCAGCAGAGACGCCGTAACGGCTGGTGTGTGCGACTCGTCTCCAGGTATGGGAAGCAGCGACGAATGGTCCGAATTTCAGGAAATAATCGACTCCACCCCAGAGCTGGAGATGGGAATGGACTCCAGGGTGTATGGAGGTGGAAACAGGTAAAAATCCAAAGCAGCTATTAAGAATCCATTTATTTAAGTTTTTTTTTTTTTTTTGCAAGTAAAAATCTGAAAAGTGTGTTTGAATTAAGCATCTTTTACTCTAATAAAGCATAATCAACACACCAGACATATAAAACAGTGGAAAAGTTGAGAGCAGGGTTAGGTTATGAAACAGCATAAATACGAATCACTGTTCAATCCAAGCAAACAGCCTGAACCAAAACGTACTCTTGTGTTAGAGTGGCCCAGTCAAAGTCTAGAGTCCAGGCGTAAATTAATTTCAGAAACCATGCATGGATGAACTGAAACAGAACATACAGAGAGTTCTTCTTTCCAAGCTGACTGAGTTTGAGTTATTTTACAAAACAGAATTAGACAAATTGTTAGTATGTAGAAAAGTTGGTAACAGACATATCCCAAAAACAACAAAAAAAAAACTGTAACTGTTGCAAAGTGTGGACTTTCAAAGCATTATTCCACAAAGTTGGGTACAAACACACAGCACATTTTTCAGGTCATAATTGTGCACCTCATTGTGTTGGTTTATCACACAAAACACGTTAAAGGATTTTTATTGATTTCATTTGGGATTTTACATCTTATAATACATCTTATAACATTCTACAGACAGGAAAACTTTTGCACGTCACTGCGTACGTGTGGGTGTTTACATCAGGACGGTTTTTGTCTTTTAATAATAAACAAACCTTAGCCCAGGTTTTTCCTCTTGAAGAAGAAATGCTTGAATCATTGATGCAAGATTCAGAACAAAAACAGTCGGGTTGTTACTGATAAGAGGGATTTTCTTGTGTATACACGGCCAAGGAAAATTATAAGTTTTCTACTGATTGCTTTTGCCCCCAGTCCTTCTCAAGGGATTGTTAACGAGGCATTCGGCATCAACACGGACTCACTGTACCACGAGATCAAAGACGCAAAGTCGGACATCATCGGAGACGTCGACGCCGGTGCCGAGCTGCTCGGTACGGCCAACAATTTCATGTTTCTATCGCTTTATCTCTGGTTTTATGTTTCATAACAGGCCAGAACGAGACATTACTGTGGTGTTGCTGAGATGCATGGCCATGTTGCAGCAGCTGTCTTGGATTTAGCAGAGAAATATTCTTCTTGCGAGGCTGGGAATGTGGTTTTCTTTGCATGGAAAGCTGCAGAAATGCTTCACTGCAGCGCCACCCACAAAAAAGTGCAATCTCACACACTGGATCACAGCCACTGCTAGTCCATTCATTTTTATTATTTCTTTGTTGTACCAACTTGCTTGTTTTCCACCCTTTTTTTTTTTATTATGAAGCAGTGGAAGGTTTATTAAATTATAAGGCGTTTTGGTTTATTCTCGATTTCTTCACAGTCATTATTTATCTTATCATTGTTTCTCTCAGCTTCGATATTTGTACAGTTTAAATGAATATTTCTTTCAGTTTCTGTTTCTGGGATTTTTCGTTTGCGACTTATTCAAAGTGTTTGAATTTTCCGCAGCAGGGAGAAATTTGACCCGTGCTAACCTTTCACCCATTTCTTTTTTGTTCCTTCCTTTCATGTGCATCTGCTGGTGACTCCCATAGGCGAGTTTTCAGGTGTGTATCTTTTCCACTGTACTCTTCAAATGCCAAACTAATCTTTCAAAGAGGAGGCATTACTCCTGTGTCCATAATTTTGTTTTAAATATCAATTATTTAATGAACTGCCTGTTCAAGCTGCTGGAAAAATCCAAATCTGCTTCTTTTACATATTTTTTTTCAATCATTTTCAAAATCAGCAGACCTAACATTGTGACTTATTTTTAAATTCTAATATTTAGACCCTTTTTATTCTTTATTGTCAAGATTTGACAAGATTAAATTTTTTTAACAGACTCCTTCCAAACTTTAAATCAGTAAATGCTTCTCTTCAACTTCTCTCCTTTTCTTTCTTGTCTACTCGTTTCTCTTCCTCCTGCCGTTTCTTCTTCTTTTGCCTGCAGTCCGTGACGATTTCTTCGGTAAGGTGTCGACGCTCACGCTCACATTTTCTAGTTAAATCCTTCCTGACTTATTTACATGTCATCCCGTTTTTCCGTTTTTAAAATCTGCATTGTGTTTCTTTTTGTGTATTATTATTTTTTGCCTCCTTTGCATATTACACCTCTACAGTTTTTCATATCTGCCAACTAAATGATCACAGCAGCATCTGCCTGCTAAAGACTCTCTAAATACCATCTCAACGTTAAAGTTTTATTCTCAGGGGCAAGGACATATAAATAGGTCATTTTTATTATTTTTTTTTCCCATTAAAACTAGCTCTTTAAAACACAGAAACCTCTTTGTTTTGCTTTTTGTTTGTTTCCAACATGCCCTCATTCATGATGTTCTGTTTCTGTAGAGATTTTTTGCTTCAAAAGCTTGTAGCTTGGCTTTTTCTCACATTGTGCTCGCTGCTTTCACTTCTTCTGCTGTTTTTTTCTTTTTTTTCTAAATGATAGAAGAAATTAATGTGTGGCTGTTAGCTAGAGCATGACATTACTAAGTTGTGTGGTTAAGAAAACAAACAATCTTTTTACATTGTTGTTGAAGCTGCTTAGGTCAAATAATAACAAGACAGCAGTGCCAATATTTTGGTGTGTAGACTGAAATATTTATGAATGTTTCATAAGATTGTATCTTATCCTACAAATATACTGTACTTCTAATTATCATCATTACATTTTAAAAGAATAATAAAATGTTTGAAACTAAATTAAGGGGTTTTAGTTAAGAATAAGTTATTGTCTCAGTTTTTGTTTATTTTCTGTGATGAGTGACAGAGAAATAAATGTGTCTGTTTCAGGGATGGGAAAGGAGGTGGAAAATCTTCTGACGGAGAACAAACAGCTTCTAGAGACCAAGTAAGGACGATCCTGCTAATTAATTCATATCAGTCTTCTGATTGGATGTATCTGTGGCATTGTGCAAGTGTAGGCATGACCTAAAAATGTGTCTGAAATGTTTTTATGTGATATCTACTTCATTTTTTTAGAGGTTTGTCAGGGTCTAAAGCTTTTGATTCTTAATCCCTGACTTCCTGTTCCCCTGAGGCACAAATAGACTAGTTTTCACTAGTTTTCAAAATGGGAAAGACATGAGAACACGACAAAAAAGTGGGAAAGATACATTTTGATCATTTTAATGACTACAAGTAAATTACTATTTGCCAAACGTAAGATTACAAAAAGTTATTTTAATCATAAAATAATTCAGAAGTTATCAGTAACTCAACTCAAACAATGAAATTTGTGTATTATATATATTTATTATTTATTAGGGTGATCTACTTCCTGAATTAAATTCAGCGGATTTAATTCTGTTCGTTTGATAAATATAACTTGTAACCCAAATTCAGTTCTCATAAAATGTTAATATTTTATAGCACCAATAAAATCTAAGACTACTAAGTCATAACAGGACATTGTTAAAGAAGCTGTCAATTCATAGGCAATATAGGATATACATGGAAAGTTGAGTGGAAGGAGAAAGTATGGTATAAAATTAAACACAAGCAGATTAGAAATAAACACTTTCTGTATTTACTGTTGATATTTATTTTTTCATTTTGGAATTGGATTATTCAAATAAATGTTAAGGATTTTCAGTGATATGGTACCCTGACCTGATTGAGACATTACGCGTGGAAGGTACTATTACATTAGAATATGCCAGCTTGTTTTAATGCTCTTCTTGTCTCTCCGCTGTTTGACAGAAACGCTCTGAATATTGTAAAAAACGACCTTATCGCCAAAGTGGACGAGCTGTCGAGTGAGCAGGAGGTGCTGAAGGAGGAGCTGGAGGCGGTGCGGCAGTCCAAGAACAAGGTGGACGCCAGAATCAAGGAGCTGGAGGAAGAAATCAAGAGGTGAGAGAAACTTCTCTGTTTTTGTTTTAGGTTTGTTTTGAAAGATTTCAGAGGCGATAAAGTTCAGGACGGGAGAGCTCCACAGTTGGTACACAACAAGAACCTGTTGACCTGAAACCCAAAACCTAGGGAGGGCAAAGTAGCAGGTTTGCCTCAGCAGTAGCAACATGATAGTGTTAAATACCTGTTTCTCTTGCTGGGTGCAAATATAACAGGGAAGAGGAAAATATTCAAATGTGAAGCTCATAGTTTCTGTTTGTTTTTCTCAAACCAAACCCACAAAAAAAAAACCTGTTTCGGTTTCCAAGTTCATGTTTAATTAGACGCAGAAATTCAACACTAATTGAAATGTCAAAGCACCGCTGCACATTTAAATCACATGTCCTTGCATTTTCCAGAATAATCACATTCCTAGCACTAGTTTCATACGTCTGATTTTTGTGAACTAGGATGATTATCTAGGAAGTTTCTTTAGATGAAGATGGATTTAAATGTTTAGGTCAAATTAAGCTTATATACAGGCAGATTTCAAAAAAAAGGTGCTCACAACCTGGGAGAAGATTAAAAGTACTGATATTTTTAAAAGCAAATAAAACACACACAC